AGCAAAAATTGGGTGAAAAGGAGGACAGGCAAAAAATAGGTTTCTCTTGCTAGTACATAGTGGCTGAATTATTTTTTTTTCTTTATTCTATCTGGCAGCTATCTGCAAAGAGCAATTCGTTACTTTGAACAGAGTAAGGCTAGTACCCTGTTGTTACTTACTTTTTCTGCCTTCAGTGCTTTGACTGCCTGGGCAGTGATACGGATTTGGCTATATTAAACATGTGGCCCACCAAGAAGGAACAGAATGGTTTCTTCCCACTTCCTTTGGTCACTAGCATGGTGTGCCATGGGGCATAGGGAATGATCAAGTGCTACTGACAACTCTGGAGCAGAATAGAGATCCTCCCTTTTCTCTTAAATAAGCATTGGATAGCACTAACTGTCTAACGGCGGGCAACTCTTACCCAATTCCTCCTCCCTTCCCTCCACCTCAAAAAAAAAAATATATCCTCCCAACAAGAAAATCTTTTGAGTTGGGGGTTTCTGCGAACTTTCTAGGAAGGCTCAGTCACCTGATGGAAGCTTTCATAAAGATCAGCTTGATAGCTGAGTTTAGCAGTTGCAAAATTCCATAATATACTTTTTGTCTACTAAATGTATGCCTACTAAACTGTAAGACTTCTTTCATGGTGCTGAGCCTCGTGATTTTGCTCCATATGAAATAATCAGGTCACTTTAATATATATTGCAAATAAAAAGGTTCACCGAGGACAGGTATAGACAAATGATTGCAGTTTTAATAAACTTAGAATAGCGTATTGGTGCTGGTCATTCAGCACAAAGACGAAAACAACAAGACTGCAGAGTTCTTTTTCTCTGTTTTTCAGTGTCCAGGAACTCCTAGGTTCACCAAATATAGCTTCGCATCCAATATTTCTTCTCCTACTTACAAGAGATGGTTGATGGTCTTAATTTCATTTTTAATTGAATCCCCCGTACTTCAAGTCTCTCAGGTGCCTTACACGAACAACTTTGTTGCCACCTCTTGAATGCTTTTCCCTGGCATATTGCAACAGCAGTCTCCCTTAATTAGACCTTAAAGCCAGCTACTTCATTTGTGTTAATAGTTATTTCTCCTTTAGCTTACCTTCTCTTTTTCCCTGAATAACACTTCAAAGAATTGGAATTCCTTTCTGTCCACCATCATTGATTGAGCTACACCAATCAAAACCAAGGAAAAATTTCCCTGATCCAGACATACCATGGCCTGAAGTAAAGGCTATTGTCCTAATCAAAAAAATGGGGCATTGCAGAAGCCATTGGGGTTTTATACTATTATCTATAGTGGAAGCTGCAGATCATCATTTAGCAAAGTGCCCTTGAAAGGCCAAAGACGCGTTTTTCTCATTGGTGCAGATGATGTGGAGATATGCAGAGATGTATTTGTAAAATTGACAGCCTTTTTGTAAAGCCCACAATCTGGTAATTTAGCTTCTGTTAACCTAGGACTGCAGTACATGTACATTTAGAGAAAACCCATCAACACTATAAAAGCTCTGATGTCATTTTAGCTCCAGTACAGCTTGGGACAGAGTACTGTTTTATTGTGGAGGTTGCTGTTAAGTAAAAAGCAAGCTGTGACATAAAACCCAGGTAAGGCTGGGGAAAGCAGGGGCCTGGAACAGTCTAAACATGCAACTGAGGACAGGGAACTGGAAAGGAAGAGTAGAGTCTGTGAATGGAAAGACGAGAAAAGATGGCATTGCCCCATACAGTCCTCCTTCTGTAGTGATGCTGCATTCAGCCCAGAGGAGGGTGCAGTGCAGTACTCCAGCGGCCTTTGTTGTAGGGGTCAGAAGGTATGTAGTGAGGGGTGTAAGAAGGGAAGAAATGCTTGCTCTAGTTAACCTATGGTATATACTAAACCTCTGCAAAACTGAGTGCATCTTAAGGTATGCTTTTCGTACATCATCACTGGTATGTTTCTTATTTTTTGAATTGCTGCTTTAAGGTGTTTGTATAAGACTTAGAGGTGTGCTAATGGTCCACAGCCACAAATAAATGTAAAAAGGAGATAATACCTCCATCCTTCCCCTTTCCATTCCCCATGAATGCAGGGCTGTGAAAATACCTAGTCAATGTTTGTAAAATACTCAGATGATATAATGATGAGTGCTGTAGAACACACTTTGAGGAAAGACATAGTTCTATACTGGGGCTTAGGCAGTGGGTAGCAAATAAGAAATTGAGAGAAAACAAAAAACAGTATACCAGTGAAGTATCATTCTTGGTCATTATTCAAACCAAAGCAAATTTGGCTTTAGATCTCTTTGTACTAGAACGAAAATGCCACAGCCACATGACACAAAATAATATCTGTATAATATTCTGCTCACTCAAATTTCTCTAAAAATAAAACAAAACTTAGTAGGTTAACTAACTAGCTTCTTGTACCTGTAAGGGTAGTTAAACTAGATACAGTCCATCATGTTTTAGAGGATACAGGCGCACAAACCCAGGCGGAATTCTAGGTTGTGCTCTGGCTAATGTGGCAACGTGCAAACATTGTGTCTGTGTGGCAGGGTGCGGTGGGGCAGCTGCTCCCTAAGGGACTGGGAGCCATATGTGGGAACGGAGGGGCAGGCGGGGGTCTCGCTGGCTGGGCTCGGTCCCACAGGGCCTCAGCAAAGCGAGCAGGGCAGCCTGCGGTGTTGTAGCCAGGTTCAACCAAGTCTATTCTTTGTGCTAAAATAATTTTCTTCTTTATTTGCTTCTTCCCCTTTTTGGCTTGCTTGAGTGGAGGAATAATTCTCCTTTAACATTGTACAGATAATATTTGATATGCTGTGACTGATGATGAAGTAGGTGATAAAGTAACTGTGACCAGACACATAAAATCCAAGCTGCATTATTCTTGCAGCCTTTTGAAAGAAAACTGGGGTAAAGGTAAATGATTTAAAAAAAAAAAAAAAAAGTTAAAGATGAGAAAGACGCAGTTCAAACCAATTTTAAGGATAAACTTTCTAGAAAACCAAGCAAGAACAGAAATCTCTCATTTCCTTTTGTCTTTCCAGTTTTACCAGAATTAAAGCTGCTCTGTGGGGCTGATTTTCTACAGACATTTAAGACACCCAATCTCTGGAAGGAGGAACACATCAAAGAAATACTGGAAAAGTTTGGTTTGGTCTGTATTAGCCGTGCTGGCTCTGATCCTGCTCAGTATATCAATGAATCGGACCTTTTAATGAAATTTCAGCACAATATCTTTCTGGTGAAAGAATGGATTCAGAATGAAATCAGTGCAACACAGATACGCTATGCCTTGTGCAGAGGATTAAGTGTAAAATATCTCATACCAGATTCTGTTATATCCTACATTGCACACCATAATATCTACACAGAAGAGAGTGAGCGGAAGAATGAAGGTGACTTGCTTCAGCCTCTTAAATTGCATAATGCAACAGTAAATCCACTAAATGACTGATGTCTGTAGTGTGTGAAGTGGACAGACCTGGCTTTTTTTCATGTAAAGTTCTTGAGAAAGTTGTTTCTTGTTAATGAGGGGAAAGTACATCAGTCCAAGATTTCTTGAATTCATGCGGTGTTTTAAATTCATGGTTTTGTGTGGGGTAGTGCTTAAGCAAATCGGGATGCTCAGCTGCATAGCTTAAGATATATAAAGAACACCTTCTTTGTGAAAATAAAAGAAATACAAAAATAAAATAAAAAGAAATAAGATCTTAATAAATATTAATCTCCAGTAATACTTAAGGGTCAAACATAGCACTTTCCTGAATTGTAATTCTGTAATCCTACAGACAGTTTTAGTATGAGGATGCCTTGCCCTTCTGAAGCGGCAAAATAAAATAAACCATAACTTTTCTTTATATACATATATATATTAATGCTAAACTTTGACTTTTTAGGACCCTGGATAACATTTTGTGCTTTGGCAGTTTGGACAAGAGATGGAAATGAATCTTTCTGTCATGCAAGCACTTAAAAATGCAGGCACTGTTCATGTCACTTTTAGGCCTCCAGATTCACAAATGACAGACAGTCCTCATCTGCAGATTTAAAGTGGGTCTAAAGTGGGTCTTTGCTTCTCTGATCCAGAGTCCTCTATAAGAGCAAGTAATTGCCAAAGCCCTGGAGTAGGTAACGTATCCCAGAGGAACCTCAGCTGTACCATTTGAAAATACACAATGGAAAATAAATCCAAATACCTAAGAGGCTATCTCAGTATTTGAGCCCTAATAGCCAGAAAAGTCCATTCTCTCATATGTTGTTTGCCTATTCTGCTGATTCAGTCTATCTCATTTTTGAGTCAAGACACCTTCAAAGAATATAGAATATCTAGAAGCTACTACTTCTGTGTTTCAATGTTGCTTAAATTAACTGAAAGCATGCATTCGGTAGTGATGTAACATTTATCAACATACAGAATTAACTGCTACTTCTTAATACCAGTTTCCACCTAACTGGCCCATTTTGAGCCCTTAGTTGACCAAACAGCTTCCACTGGTAGTTCTCTAGAATTATGGAACTTGTAGAACAAGTTAAAGTAATGCCAGACACAAACAGTTTTCACTGAAAGACTCTGTATGATCGTTTTCTGAAAAGAAGGCGGCCTAAAGTAGCTGGAACATATTCAAGGAAGAAAGATTTGCCTCAAAACACACATAAGATAAGTACTTGTATAACTTTGGCTAATATCCTAAACTAAAACTATTTTAAAGGGTTCTTTTTCCCCCGAGTGGCATGAAGAATGAAGGGTAATGTGAGAAAAAGGAAGGGTAATATGGTTAAAATGGATCCCCAGATAATCAGTACCCTTACAGAAGTTATATGGAAGGTATATGTTTCATTCTGTTTAAATCAAGTCATCCTGCTGTCATTAGAAATCTCAGAGGTTCAGCCTTGTGGAAGGATTTAAAGGCGACACTTCAACAATAATCGGATTAGAAGGACTTGCGTAGCTACATGGTCTAAAAAAGAGATAAAAGAAACCAGAGTTCAAACTTGCCACAAAGAAAGGCAGAGAGCTGTGTGGTGCAGAATCACCACACTGTTCCGAGACTTTGATTTTGAGAATCATCTGAAGTAGGGATGCCTGCAGATTTCAATGGTTACTGGAAAATGGTCAGCAATGACAATTTTGAGGAGTATCTGAAAGCACTGGGTAAGGTTCTCTTCACGTTTCTTTAATAAATGATAAATGCAACCTATCTTAGTCTTTACATGAATTGTATTTTTTCTTGTACAGTCATAAATCATTTTTGTGAGAAATATTTTTTTCAGGAATGCACTTTAAGAATTGCCTTATGCAAAATTGTTTTGTCTTAAGCAGCCTCTACTTTTTACCATCTTGAAGCTTACATTAACAGAGATTAAACTACGTAGCTTGAAGAGGTAAGTGGCGGATTTCAAACTTGAAAAAACAACCATAATTTGAAAAAGAGTAAAATTTTTATGTGTAATAAAGACACAATAATGTACTTAATGCAATTTTGTGTGTTTGCATTTGATGTGAAGTGCTAGTATTTCTACAGAAAGATTGAAGGCCTTATTAACTGTCAAATACAAGTGGTATTATTTAGGATTCTACATAATCAGAAGATCAAAACATGAACTTATTTAAGTTAAAACAGTTAGGTTATGGACTTTTTCCTGATGAGAAAGCTGGCCTGAAAGATCTGGACGTTTACTTATCTTTGTTCGGTTTATTTCTCCCAAGAGCTACAAGCTTCTTTTTGTGGTAGACTTTTCTGGATTAAAAGAATTCTTTTTCTTTTTCAGATGTAAATGTTGCTGTAAGAAAAATAGCAAACTTGCTAAAACCTGACAAAGAAATCCTTCAGAATGGGGATCACATGATCATTAAAACGCTAAGCACTTTTAGAAACTACATCATGGAATTTGATGTAGGAAAGGAGTTTGAGGAGGATTTAGCTGGGGTGGATGATCGCAAATGCATGGTAAGAATTAGAACTGTAACAACAGCCAAAAAAAGTAGAATATTAATAATCTGAGGCCTTTCACAGACCACATCTCTTAACCATTTTTTGTGACTATTCCTAAAATTATTTCTATACTTCTCAGTTTGCCAAGATGTGCACAGTTTTTAGCATGCCTTCATACCAGTTTTAGCAATGGATGAAAAGTAACTTCAGTGAAAAGTTACTGAATATCTGAGTTATACTGGGATATTTGTTTGTCAAAAAGACATTTAGGTTCCGACTTTCAGAAACTCTTCACTGAGTAATGTTTTACACTAAAGGAAATCCACTGATTGTAGGGTCGGGCACTATTCCCCATGTTCAAGAATGGCCAAGTTCTTAGAAATTGCAGCTTTTCTTTCTTGTTCTTGTTCCTGTGCTCCTTCGTTCCCAGGTGGATTTATTAGAGCAGACGCGTTAATTAGCCTACTGGAACAAATCTTACTGCAATCAATAAGCGAAGACTGAGGACTCTGCCTTATGAGCTCTTTTTGCTTGCTAGAGAGGCAATATTTTCTAACTTATGACTGATAAATACCAATTAACAGTGGAAAAACTTGAGAATACCGAGTTCTTTCCTGTTAGTTTGAAAGCCTGACACCTGCAATATCCTACAGTGAAGAAGCTGATACGCAAATGAAAATTATCTCAAGAGGGACTATAGAGTAGAAATCACATAAAAAAGAATTAATAGTTTTCCATTCTTAGAAAGATAGTGCCATTTAAAACCAATACTATTCTCTAACACTGGGATACGCAATTTTGCTTTTGCTCTGGTGATGGCAGGAAAGGGAAAGATCATGAAGATCAGAAAAAAGGAATGGCTAGCTAGCGAGTGCCTCAACTAATCCTGTATTCCTTGTTACAGAGGGTGGAAGCACAATACAGCGCAGAATACAGAATTCACAGAAGGGAAAAGCAATGTCTATTTGAGTATAGGAAAGTGTCCCAATGTCATAATGCATTTTTGACTGCTGGAAGGCTCTTAATCAGGATAATGAGGTCCAGATCCACTGAACAATTACAAGCCCAAAGAAAGACTTAGGTTTAGGTGGCTAAATTACTGTCAAAGATAGCAATGTTCTAAACATCTGCTCAAGCACTAAAAATGCCTGAAGTCCTCAGAGTTTGCATCACTGAAGTACTGGTTTGTGTGTTTACAGAACTGTCTCCATCTAAACGTTATCTGTACTTTAATACCATTTAACTTCACCTAAAGGAGGACTAAAACATCCTCTACATGGAAGAAAGAAGTAATTGTGCTGTGAGGCTGTCTAACATATACCCGCAATGAGTTCTTACAAAACGTGTCAGATAACCCCTGTGCTGAAAAATCAAATTCAGAAAACGGAAATATGGCCCTTGCCTAGTCCTGCTTTCGAAATGCTGAATAGATTTAACACACAATTCTTAATTTCCTGACAAATACTGTAACTATTTCATTATTTGTAACAGGCCAAAATTCTCTACCCCATTTTGCTAAATTTTGCAATGGGGAAGAATTCAAAATGTTGAACCAGAAAGAAGAAATCAGAGAACGATTATTCTAGTCACTACAACAGCTATCTGATTTGGAGTGGAACCTTGTTCACCCTACTTTCGAGGGTTAAACATTTTATCTCTTGACTGTTTAGTGCAAAATGCTTGCTCATTCTTGGAAGCAGAAGGTATGAGCATCTTCTTGCCTTTTCCAAAAAAACCCAAGGGGTAGTCACTAACCCTGACTGTTTTGTGAAGAATGTCTTAGGCACGTAACTCCAGAAAAACTTTCTATGTGCCTTTATGGCCTCCACCAACAGATACCAACTGCAGCTGTACAGTTAAGGCCACTGGTTCTTTATTTGCCTTGTAGCAATGTATCATACTTTATAGTTCAATATTCTTATTAAAGATTTCTTTTCTACGTGCGACCTCAGTTTTCTCAGAGACAAAACAGTACAAGAAGCTGTCCTTCTGAAGCTACTTCAGCCCAAATCTGATAACCATAATATCAGGCAAAACTTGCAGTTGTTAAGCAACAAAATAGCTCTGACAGTCCAGAAAGTGTCTTGTGAGAGAAGGGTCATGGAAGTGGTATAAGAGATACTGGACCACTCCCTGAGTGGTGCTGTGAAGAAAAGCACCATAAAGGCAAAGGTTGAATATCATTCTTGGTGTTTCCTTTTCTCATCTGTAGCTTGTGCAACTGCGTACCATAAATGGCTTAATCATTAATAGTCAACCTATGTAATGGGAGAGATTGTGAATCAATTATCGTTATTTGTATTGTGGACTGAGCAGCCCACTGGGCAAGTTTTATCCAAGTAACTCTATGTATGAGAAGTACAAAGTAACATGGATAAGACGAATTACACATTAAACATTAATCTATATAGCAGAGCAATCATCAGGAGACTAGAAGAAATAACCTTAGAAGAAATTCATCCAATAGGTATACATCATTTTTTCTTTTAATGAAGAATATATCATCTAGCTAGTGTTAACATATGAGTGAAAATAATATTAGCACGGTGAACAGGTTAGATCTTGTGTGTAATTCACTAAAATTGTGTGCACCTTTCAGTTGTAAAACCCATCTTTGAGTCAGTCAGGGTAGAGTGTAACTACAATAATTCCAAATCGATACTGTCTGTGATGAGTAAAAGCTAAAAAGTTTTGCTGGTACTTATTTTAAAAGCAAGTTGAAGGTTTGACAGTAGGAATTGATACTCCTGTGATGGTATAGGCCTTCATCCTTCATTTCAGTGAGGATTTTTTCATTTTTATAGTTGGTCACTCCCAGAAGCCTGTCTGAACTTTCTGGAACAGTGAGTTAATTGAGCTGGATAAACCTTAGCAGTTTCAGTTTGTCCTTTTTTTGACCTTTAACTATCGCTTCCTTGTATGCAACATGTTTTTAGGTGATTCTGTTGTCTTAAGAAACATAGGTAACAGCAGTTGGTGACATCCATTCCTTTAAGATTTTGTTTCTGTTGGGAAGTGAGAATTTGCTACTTAGGAATCTCAAGAAACTCAAAAGCCCTTCTAGTTTAGTTAAAGATGCAATTTCTCTGTTCTGTAAAACCAAAGATTGGGAGAGCTGACCACACTGATGTATGAACACAGGAGAGATCACTAATCAAAGTGTAAGGTACTTCCGAGAAGATAGTTGATACTCAATGCGTTCTAAGCATTACTGAAACCACGTATGGAGCACGCTGCAGTACTACCTCATCTCTTAAGGAATGCAGAGCAGACATCTGCATTCACTTAGCTCCGTAACGCTATTGTGCTTCTCCTGGAGCTTTTCCCCAGAGATTTTATCTCCTAGAAAAAAGTTAAATAGGAGTGTCTCTGTTTGTCAATTTCATGAAAAATGTGTTTCCACAAGTTTAATCATGGGGTTGTTGTATTCAGGGTTGTTGACAACTTGGCAGTTTGAACTACAGAGCTAAAATGAAAGTTCCTGTATTCAGAAGCATATTTTATTCTTTGCAAGTGTTACAAGGTGCACGTAAGACGGTGTAGAAAGAATTTTAGAACATTAATATTGTATTACGTTATTTCTCCATGGTGTGAAGTTTGAATCGGACCATGGGATAAAGTTTCTACTACTTTGAAAAGTTTGTTCACGGTTTTAATTGGTAACAGATAGTGTACAGAGACAGAAATTTAAAGTTAAATGCATAACTATGGCTTAGGTCTTACCCAAACTGAGTGTTTGATCCTCCTATCTTCATTCTCAGGGAAATTCCAGTCTCATAATGAAATTCCTCAATTTTAAGGATAAATTCTATAATCTGTAGTTGTGATTAATTTGGTGAGTGTCTCAGGTATGGCACCAAGTATAAAACCTTGTTTCATGCACACAAACTTTACTGTGGAAAAGAATTACTACGCACAAAAGAAGCAAGACCTTATTGAAACAACAATTAACTAAAAACCATCTCTGAAAGTATGTCTCATTCATCACCAGATAATTTTGCCTTCCTGATGCCAAAGTTGAGGAAACATCTGCAATGTGAAATATGTACCAATAAACATAAGAATGAGGCAGGATCTGACACTAAGCAGAAAAGTTAGCCTTATGTACATTCACAGTGAATTTGCTTACTACATCAGTCAAAAATTTATAAAAAAGTTAGCTGAAAAAACTTAAAGTCTGACATTTCATGTTCCAAGTCTTTGCACCCAATGAATCCAAGCAGATTGAGAATGGGATAACTCAGATATAAAAATTACTTCCCTAAAATTTTTACTTTTCTAATAATTTTGCTGATAAAGTCAGAGAAAGTTTTTGCATTATCGTTTTTCTCTGCTGTTCAAGCATTTGAATGAGACTGAATTGCTTTAGCTTACGCTATCCAGAATGAATCTTTTGACAGAGATTAAGGACAAGTGATCTGTTCAAAAAATCAAGGAAGATTCTGTGTTCTAATTATAGAAGAGCAGAATTTCTTGGATAACTGAAAACAGCATTAGTTGCATTAGAATTGAATATTTGGCTGAGCAAGTGAAGGATGCTTCAGTAATTCAGAGCCTCGTGCTCTTTGGCACAGTATTTTTCTTCTTACATTGAAGCAGGAAAGGAAATTACAATGACTGGGAACTGGTAAACAGACAAAACTGCAAGAATTTGAAAATGGAGGTGGGAAATCATAAAAATCAACCATTTAGTTAACCGAAACAGAATACAAGCAGAATATAACCATGGTTAAGTTATCAAATGGATGTTTAGGATTCCATTATTTGAACTAATACAACCTTTAGTCATAGCTAAGACTTGCTGGGGTGAGGTACGGTGAGGGGGATTTGGGAGTTGGAGAATTCACTCGTCAGATCTGTCATACATCTTACCATATGAAGTACCTCCCTGAAACTATATAGGCATTTAATGTTTAAGACAGCTACATAAGGATTGTCCATAGGCACCTGACCAGTCCTTCCGTGACACAAACCAGTGCTTAGTTCCGTGTGCCCTATCCTAGCAAAGGAGGTAA